AGCTTCTCCAGGAGTGTGCTGTGGGAGACAGCGTCAAAGGCCTTACTGAAGTTCAGGTACACAACATCCATTATAATTTAATATATTACTACTGAAATGGCTATGTTCTAATTTCAGACTCTTATCATATTTGGGAAGGTTTATTTTTTTAGAAAGTGCATTACCTAGTAACAGAATTTGAAAATCTCCTTATGGTCTTCTGTATTCAGATAGGAACTCACTGATCTGTTAGTCAGGAGAATTATGTACATTGCAGCCTGGATCAGATCAATCAATGAAATTAGATGTGACAGTGATGCCAAATTGATTTTTGCTTTCATATATTCCTTATGTATATTTCTAGCTCTGTAGCCTGTTGTTGTATAACTGTATAGATACATTGCTAGAATTTTATCTACTAAGTTAGCAAGAAAGACAAAACACCTAAAGGCTCAATCCTAATCTTGGTTCTTCTGAGACCAAGGACAACATACCAGAAAGAACTAGAGAGGAAGGGGGGGGGCTTCAGAATAAAGTCGAACCAAGATGGGGAATTACCTCAACATCTCTGTTTCTAATTGGGCATTCTTGTAAATTACACAAATTTACTAATTTTATAAAACTGTAGTTCCTCTATGTCACATGTGTACATTTGGTGCAATTTTCAGCATGTATTTTGGTGTGTTGTGCACCTGATGGGACCCTTCATAGAAAGCTAACCACACTATCACCTGTGCCTAGCTTGTGACTTTAGGGCTCAGAAAAAGGCAAGGACAGCTGTTGAAAATGAACTTTGAAATCAAAGATGAGATTCTACTATTAAAAAAGTTCATGCTAAATAATTTGTATTACAGTAGACAGCATTAGAGGCACACTAACAGTTTCATGTTCTGGGTTGGATAGGGCATTTAAAAACCACAGAGTTTCAACCCTCCTGCCCAGGCAAGAACATCTTCCACTGGATTAGGCTGTTCCAAGACCTGTCCAGTCTGACCTCTGTTGCTTCTAGGGATGGGGCATCTACAGCTTCCCTGGGCAACCTGTTCCAGTGTCTTGACACTCTAACAATTAAAAAATGTCATCCTTCCATCCAATCTAAACCTACTATCAGTTTAAAGCCACTCCCTCTTGTCCTGTCACTACAGGCTGTGACAAAAAAAAAAAAAAAAAAAAAAAAAAAAAATCTTTCTCACCATTTTTCTTCTAAGTCTCCTTTAAGCACTGAAAGGTCACATGAAGGTAAACAAGGACTCCCTGGAGCCTTCTCAAGTCGAACAACCCCAGCTCTCCCTCACACGTTTGTGAAAAAAAGTTTGGCTTTCTGGGCTGTGAGTGCTCATGGTTGGGTCATGTCCAGCCTCTCACCCACCATCACCCCCAAGAACTTCTCAGCAGGGCTGCTCTGATCTGTTCATGCTCAGCCTGTGTTGATACTGGGGATTGCCTTGACTGAGGTGCAGCACCTTGCACTTGGCCTTGTTTAAACACGTAAGATCCCCATGGACCCACATCTCCATCTTGTCCAAGTCCTTCTGGAAGGTTTCCTTCAGGCCTGATAACTACACCACTCAGCTTGGAGTCGTCTGCAAACTTGCTGAGAGTGCACTCCAATGTCTCTGCTTAATTTTAATGAAGACATTAAATAACACTGGTCCCAGTACAAACCCCTGGAGGACACCACTGGCCCCTGATGTCTATTGGGACTCTGAGCCACTGACCACTACCCTTTGCATGCCACTAACCAATCACTTTCTTATCCACCTAATAGTCATCAAACCCATATCTTTCCAGTTTAAGATGTTGTATGAGATCACAACAAAGGCTTTGCACAAGAACAGATAAATGACACCTCTAACTCTCCCCCGTCCATTGATGCTGTCACCTCATCATAGGTCACTGATGAGGCCACTGAATTGGTCTGGCAGGACCTGCCCTTGGTACACCATGCTGGCTGTCCCAAACCACCTCCCTGTCCTACATGTGCATTAGTACAGCTTATAGAAGGGTCTATTCCATGATCTTCCCAGGCACAGAGGTGAGAGACAGTATGTTTTTGTGCTGTACAGGACACATAAGACACTCAGAGACTAGTAACAACTGGAATGAACAAAAGAGGCTAGCACTTGTTTCCATAATAATGCACAATAATGTAGGTCCTACCTTATTAAAAACTTCTTTACTAACAGGATCCGTGTTCCATAGATTCTGTCGTTCCCTCTGGTTTAGTGCTTCCTCTTTTCTTCTCCACTCTTCCTCTCTCCATCTCAACTCGGCAGCTTCTGTCCTTGCTTGAGCAGATTCCTGATCACAGGATTCTGAATTATGCAGTGCTAAATTACCAAATTTTTGCTGGGCTTCTGCTAGGTTCCATGTGCATTCTACAGAGTGCTTCACAAACTCTCTTTCTTTTTGGCAGGCTAATTCAATCCCTTGGCTGTATGTCTGTGAGGAAAATCAGACATACTATTTATGGAGAGAAAATTATTGGTTTACAGTTTCTATAGAAGCAGACTGGCCTAAATCCCAGGGTAATAATAATGCATCTGGAAGACACCTTAGATATGCAGCATTATAACAGCAGAACTAATGAAGCATGGCAACGTACAGCTATGTCTTCTAGAAAGATATTTTCAATTCAAGCCACCTTAACTTTATTAAGTGTATTTGCAAAATCACGGAGCATGTACTGCTATCAGTAATAGTCTCCAGACTTTAAAAATACCTCTGAAATAGCTGAAATCCCTCTAGCTATCTTAGGGCTGGAACATTAGCAGCAGACAAGCATGAGAATACTCTGAATATACATTTCTGATAAGAAAGTACTGGGTTTGTGATGTTAGATCACAAAAGAAAAGTCACTGCATGCATTTCAGTATTATTACCCAAACAGATGACCAACATCTTCTCTTGAACTGACACTAGAAGGGGTATTTAAGTTATAAAGTGGCCAAGGCCCAGCACAAACACGTGCTCCTTTTGGTCAAATCTGCTGAGGATGTCACCACTCATAGCTGAGAGAAAAAAGGGCCATCTTAAGCAACCCTGCTTACATTATTTCCAGGTGTGTGCTCAGAGTTCACACTCAGTAATTCAAGAACTTATCCTCTACAGCATATGTCATGCCTTTTCCAACAACGGTGAAGAAAAAATGCATCCATACGCATTAGTTCCTTAGCATTAGCCTTCCACAGCCACGTTATGAAATCTGCAGTGCTGATAACCTCTGGCAGGGGCACACGAAGGACAATTTGTAAAAGATTATCTGGAGGAAACTTAAACTCAAGTAAACCAAACTTATTGTCGCAACTTTGGGAATTACAGCATTTTTATTTCCGCAGTAAAAAGAAGAGAATTCCACCGTTGGAAAAGTAACGTAATGGCAGCTGCTCGCGGGAACACACAGAATTCCTTACAACGCGTTTAGAAATCGCCGCCTCGCCCCGGCCAACAGAGAAACACACCGCCTACCTATCTGCTCCTTCGGCAGGGGACGCTGGGATAACTCCAACCCAGCTCCTTCCGCATCGCCTGCCCGCGGCGGAGCTGTTACCAGGGCGGGCGGCGCCAGACCCCGCCTGTCCCCACCGCCCCTCAGAGCCCCGCCAGCCGCGCCGCACGGCCCCGGCCCGACAC